TCCGGGAACCCCAAAATTGATGCGCGCGTGCGAATAAAAAAAAGTTTTGCAAAAAAAAAGTGTTTTCATTATGAAATCTACGTGGTCATGAGGGTTGAGCAAATGGGACTGAATATGATTTGGCGAATAATCTAGTCTTCAAGTTCATTTCTTTACAATTTCGTCTTTTTTCGTTTGATTTTGGCATTCTACGACATTGGTATGGTTTTTTTGTAACTTACGGTATATTTTTGCTCATTTTGCAACTGTTTTGTACGATTTACAGTATGGTTGAAAACTTTTTTTTTTGGAAACGGCCGAAAATTCATGCGCGCGCGGATGTCATCCATATAATCAAATCAACATGGCCTTAGACGGAGAAAAAAGAGGAAGCCGTAGGAGGGCAGTTATTCACCTGTGAATGGTCGTGTTATTAAAGACGACGTGCAGCAGGATCCATGCAGGGATCAAATTACCACTTGCTTGCACCGCCAAGTCTTCCACTACAAAGTCAAAGAAGATCTGAAAGAACATGAAACAAAGAATGAACTGTACACCATACTATGTGTTTTCTGTCACTTGTAATTCAACCTTCCTGGCCACTTAGATTTCATAATGAACTTTTTTTTCGCACACTCGTATCAGTTTCGAGGTGCACAGAACATATATTCAAATCCGTATGGCCTGAGCAAGCTTGATATACACACACCAGCAATCTACGCTGCGTAGATGTGCGGGAGGCTGACAATTTGAGAAATAAACGTTTCCTTAAAAACTCGTTATGTTCCGTCGTTCCCCAGTGTGACGCAGGTGGGAGGGATAATTAAGTGCCGCTCCTGCTGTTTTCAGAGCTGCGCTCAGGAGAAATGGCAGGCTTAAAATATAAGGCTCGTGCGGGGGAGGACAGTTCTATTATACGGTTATAGTGCACGTACTGGTTATAACCACCGCATATGGCGCAGCTCGTTTTATAAACAACGATGTAACGTCCTCCAACAATCGCCACCACATCCGGGGATGTTTCAATGGTGTCAGTCGGTAGGCTGGCTGTTTATTACCTTCGCCAAGAAGGTTATGTTTTCCTGGCCGTGTGTGTGTGTGTGTGTGTGTGTGTGTGTGTGTGTGTGTGTGTGTGTGTGTGTGTGTGTGTGTGTGTGTGTGTGTCTGTCAACAGCATAACTCGAGAAAGCTTAGATGGATTATCTTGATGTAGGTGGGTAGGTCTTGATGAGACCTAGAAATGATTAGATTTTGGACCCCCTAGCGGCTTGTTATGGTACTGCAGCTAAACTTCCGGTTTTGATATCTCATGATCTAGACATGCTGGGGTGACGAAATTTGAATGGTAGGTAGCTCTCATGCTGGGGAAGAAGTGACATGAGTTTGGGCCCCCTAGTGGCTTGCGTAGGAACTGCAGGGCTATCTGTTTGAAAATATTCAAAAGAGGATAACTCAAGAACTGGTGGACAGATCGTCGTGATTTTTGGTATGTAGGTAGCTCAAGTGACGCTTGACATAATTATGCGACAATTATGCAAATCTGGATCTAATTTGCATTATTAATGGGGAAATTCTATAAATCAGGTGCATTACATTATAGGACTATTCAAGCTTGTGAGATATGTAATTGAGAACGAGAGAAACACAGGCAGATATTGATTATGTAAATTAACACCTAATTTGCATAATTAATGAGAAAATGTTATAATTCCATAATGCTAACTGCCTGGAATTTCATACTTGGAGTATTTGAAAGTTAAGTGAAGGTGAACATCATTAAACATAACTTATTCAAATAAGGACCTCATTTGCATAATTTATGAGGAAATGATAGAATGGCTTTCTTTGCTAAGATAAGGCTGTCTTTTGATGGAGAATATGATCAACTATATAATACAATATTATAATATAAAAATAATACAAATGAGGATTTTATTTGCATTATCAGAAGGAATCATCTTTGTCAGTCAAAAAGATTAACATCATTTGGCGAAGGTATGAGATCGTGGGACTCTAGTATTGGTGTCTGTTTAGATGGGTGGCTGGATAGATGGGTGTCTGTTTATATTGGTGTCTGTTTAGATGGGTGGCTGGATAGATGGGTGTCTGTTTATATTGGTGGCTGGATAGATGGGTGACTGGATAGATGGGTGGCTGGATAGATGGGTGGCTGGATAGATGGGTGGCTGGGTAGATGGGTGGCTGGATAGATGGGTGGCTGTTTAGATGGGTGGCTGTTTAGATGGGTGGCTGGATAGATGGGTGGCTGGTTAGATGGGTGGCTGGATAGATGGGTGGCTGGATAGATGGGTGGCTGGATAGATGGGTGGCTGGATAGATGGGTGGCTGGATAGATGGGTGGCTGGATAGATGGGTGGCTGGTTAGATGGGTGGCTGGGTAGATGGGTGGCAGCTGGTTGCTAGGTTGGTTGGTTAGTCGGCTCGGGGGTTGGTTGGTTGGTTGGTTGATTGGCTGTAAGTTTTTTCATCTGGATATCTCAACTCTAATGATGGATTTTCTTGGAAATGAATTCGGATCTGACCATACTTTGCGGGGATAACTGTGGCTAATATCGGTGCAAATCTACGCGGGACTAAATTGCGAGATCGAGGAGAGTAGGCTTGTACTTCAGCCAATGTTAGGCCGTAGGCAGTGAAATTATATGTTCATGTTTTTTACGAACAAGAATAGGAATACAAGACGATAAACGGAGAGATCGAAGGGCGAGGTCAAGAGGTGATGGCTCTTAACTCTGCTTTCTTCTACTTACTAGTATTTTCTTCACACTCACTTCCTTCGTGCTTTTTCAGCTGTACATAGAATATATGGCCAGTTGCTAGCCTCCTTCGCAGACTTGTAGGGCGCGGCGTTATTTTTTTTTGTGAGCGTCTCTCGGCAGCAAAATCGTCCCTCCGCGGCATGACTCGCGTCGCTAACCGAAAAAAAAATACACAGCGCCCTACAAGTCTGCGAAGGAGGCTAGCCAGTTGCCCCCTCCGTCTGGCTGGCTGGAAGGTGACCAACTAAAGGCACAGCTGGCTGAGTCTTACCTGCCTTACTGACGGCAATTTTTAAAACTGTAATGGGAGGAAGGCAATCTCATTACTGCCTCAAAAGGTTTCCATCTATTTCAAATTCCAGGATAACTAACTGAGCTGATTAATTTCCATCGGGGATGTAGGGCTGGTTAAATGGGAGGGGATTTTTTTACTAGATAGTACTATATACAGCTAACACTGCACTTGCGGATCCTGCCGTTTTAGAAACACACAATGGAAATGACAGGACAGAATTTCTCTCATTTCTATCCCGGAACTCAGGCTGAAACCGAACGAAGATGATTTCCCCCATTAACGTAGACAGTCTGGGGAACCGCAAATGCAGCAGGAAAATGGCATGATCTCCTGCTAGTCTAGCTAATGACACCGTCCATTCACTGCACACACTCACCTAAAAAATCGCCGTCCGTTTATTTATTTCCTCTGATAATCTTGACAAATCGTATCTGCACAGACTTGTTTGTTTGCGCCAACATGTGCGTCCCTGGTTATATGTCACATTGATATAATAATAGTAACATCTCCTGTACAAACATTTCCTTACAAAAATATACGTGCGAACTGGAAACGCTTGATTTTTTTGGAAGCCATGCTTTCGTCGTCCGTCTAGAGTGATGTGAGAATCGCTAAGTTTACCAAGTCAACGTGAACCCACACAATACTAACACTTGACTTCTGAATATTAGATGTTAATATTTGCCGAGGTCGGCCAACGTCTGACAACAGGAAAAACAATCCAATGAATTCAATATATACAGAACGGAATGGACCAGCTGCGTGACGTACACAAATACAGGCATATAAAGACTACATGCTTGACTGGTGTATGTTAGTCTTGAGTTCTATTACATTGATAATAAGATGAGGAAATTCCTGATAAGGTTCTCCGAATATGCAGCACAAAATGGTGTTAGTCATGTCCAGGGTACTGAATCTCAAGCCGCTTCCTTTTGTCTTGACCTCTACCGGACTCCGCAGAATCCCAACGTTCTTTCGTCTGTACATTTTTCCGATTAACATAGATAACAGCCAATCTTCTTTACACTATGTTACAAAAATATACATTGTCATCTTCAACACTCACCCACAATCGCCAGCAATCGTTGTTGGACAACAACTCACTTCAAATGACTATAACAGAAATAAACCTTTACCCTTGTCCTGTCTGAGAAAACTTCCTGGCATTACAGATGCCTATCTCCCGTTCATTCATCTGTAAACCCTTTAGACCGACTAGATGTTGGTACAAACGATCTCATAGTGTTGCCAGGTCTAGTCTCTGGTTTTATGCAGCCGGCTGATGAGGTCAGCCTTGTCGGAGTCCTTCTTGTTGCAGTCTTTTCTGTCTGATCCTTCGGCGCACTTGCTTTTCTCCGCCGCGTTGTCCGTCTTTTCCGTCTCGCTTGCCGAGCTCTCGTCTCCACTGCCGGCTGCGTTGTTGCTCTCTTCAGAATCTCCCCCCTCTGTCTCGTTCTTGGCGGACTCCTGGTCGTCGTTGGCGGGCTCGTTTTCCCGGTATGCCGCCGAGTCCTGCTCGTAGGCCGGGTCGTCTCCGTACAGGGCGGGGTCCAGGAGGTCCAGGTAGTCATCGTAGTCGAAGCCGCGGGTCTGCGGAGCCGGCATCTCGCGCAGGAGCTGGTAGTAGTCGGCGTACTGGCTGTCGAGCTGCTTCATGGCCTGGTACTGGTACAGCTTGTTCATGATGTAGGACACCGCGTCCTCCAGCTCCTCGATGTAGTCGTCCGCCGTGTAGCTGTTCTGCGGGTAGGCGCTGGGCGGGAGGAGGTCGGCCTGGCCGGTGGTGGTCGGGTAGTTGGCGGCGAGGAGGTTTGGAGAGGTGGCGGCGTTTCCGCTCAGCTGGTACTGTGATAACAGGTTGAGGTAGTCCTGCAGGTCCGGGTTGGTTTTCGGGGTAGAGACGTACTTAGGCGGGGCGACTTGCGGAGCGCTGTCCTTGGCGCCGGGGCCGAGGAGGTAGCTGAGGTCGAGATTCTGGAAACTTGGCGGGGGGATGTTGGAGATGGGCTGGACCGGCTTGGGACGGAGTGCGCTGATCTTAGGCGCGGTCTTGGCGGGTTTGCTGAGTGAGGCCTGCTGCAGCAGCTGATGGAGGCTCTCCTCCAGCTGGCCGGGGCTGCCGCGAGGAGGGGCTTGTCTCTTCTCGGCGGGGCGAGGCTTCGGTGCGGCGGAGACTTCTCGCCTGGCCCGGCGGTGAGGGGTGGCGGCCGGGTAGCCCCAGGCGGAGGGGAGCGTGCACCCCAGGATGGCCACCAGACACAGGAGTCGCACCATCATCCGAACTGTGGGAGCAACAAGAGATAAGCGGTAAACAAAGGGGCAATAAGGAAATTTGACTTAACAAGTGGTAGAGATGACTCAGCACTGAGACCAGATGTGCTCAGATTACATCTGCGTTCCGCGCACTGAAGCTGTGACATGAGGGAAAGAATAGAAATCCGCATGCATCACCGTCAAGGACAAGTAAAGCGCTTAGTGTGACATATAGGCCGAAATTGGGTTACCGCCTTCTGGGAGAAGACATGGAACTGTCCGCATTTTGCAACTGTTGATTGCACTTCATCGCGGGAACAGTTGAAACATATATATGGAATGATGCTGTTCTATTCAACTGTAAAAAGGATTGGAAAATAACTTACACGCACTGGACATATCCATAAAGGAGAGGAATGTGAAGGAAGTCAGACTAGGATGGTCTCGATCTTCGAGGTACCGGTGCGTCCCGGGTAGAACGTCGGGCTGTGGAGCGGGGTTGTGCCGCCTGGGCGCCTTCAGAGCGACCGGAGAGAGGCAGGCTGGAGTGACTGACGGAGCTGGTCCCTGTCAGGAAGAGCTCGTCAGCCGATATTTATATGGCAGCAAGCAATGACGCATGTGCCTTTCATCGGTTGCCTGGCAACGATCCTAGCAACCTCGCCTCCGCTCTCGTCAGACGGCGTTCTGACGTCAGCAGATCGCCCGTCCCGACTGCGTGATTGCGGCGTATCACCTTTGAAATCTTCTTCACTGGCCGAGAAATTTGGGGAGTGACGTCAAAGCAGCTTGTACCCAACCATGGGAATCTACTATCCACTCAGTCTGAACTGATGGGAAGACGGCAGAATGAGAATTCTTCTCCCGCTTCCTAATCAGCATTCTGGTCCGGCCGTACTACAGCATGATGGTGGGGTTATCTACGGTGGGCGGAAACTATATTGGATATGGGTGAAAAACGAAGAGAACTGCCACATGTTTCCCTCCTGTTTGAATCATTTCATAGTTGCTATGTGAAGATAGCGGCAGGTACTTTTCACTTGTCGTCGAAACGCCGCACTCGTGAAATCATACATTATTGACCAATATTCTGGCCGTGTACGCTAGGCTGGATGTCAGGGAAGGTTCTTGAGTAGAGGGAGGAGAAGCTGTGAGTGATGGCCACTCACATCACAAGTAGCCTGCTAATGACACTACGATTGGCCGGAAGTCTAGAAACAATAGCGAATCATGGGCAAAGTCATCTGGCCTGGCAACGGCCTATCATTCAGGGTAGTGCCCACTGTATCGCACAGCCTGTGCGGGGTGGATAACGCGTAACCCGGTAAATTTGTATTCTCGGTCCGTATGACCGCCTGTTGCTTTGCGCCCTTGCACGGTAGAAAATACTCATACATGTTTACTCCCCATAACGGCCACCCGGCGCTGCGTAACTCAAATAAACGGGTTGTCACTGCCAGGAGATCTGTGTGGGCGAACATGCAATCATGTTGCCTTAACACGTTTAAGCTTCTCAATTGACTTGTCTACTTATGTCGACGGTGGTGAAATAAATGGCGATTTTCACCAGCAGGGTTTGGTAATTTGTGGGCCCTAACGAAAGAACTGCTGTGTAAATGCGTCCCGCTTTCACCCGCACTTAACGTGACAGCAACGTGACAGCACCGCCTACTCAGGAGCAACTCTTGCAGCCGACTGCTACAAATTCACAAGACAAATATTCTTTTCTTGTTCGTGCGTTGATTTGTATTGCGTTATATGGCATATCATCTGCACTAATCAGCCTTTATTCACAAATTTTAGAGCGAATGCATGGGCTACGGAAATGTAAATAAAACTCTGCGCATGAATGCCTTTTAAAATAGGCATGGTTATTCTCTAATGGGAGGTAAAGCCGGAGGTCCCGTCCTTGAGTCACACAGCGAGCACGTTCATCTCGATGTGAGTGGATCAAACATTACAGTCCGATCTCTGGGCATAGTCACCTGTTATGTCAACCCTTCAACAAATGTGGTAAATATGAATAAATGTCGCTGGCCAGAAGTAAAATAATATATTGAAACGTTTAAATGGGCACAGCATCGTCACACACAGATTCAGCCATGCTCGACATCGGGACTAAAGCAAATATAGTTCACTGTTCAAATTCTTCGAATGATCTAAAGGACGAGAGTGCGTCAGATTTTGTTGCAGTTATAGTTATAGTCATAGCCATCTTATGTCGGTATCTTGTAGTGATGTTTTAAACCTGTTACACGAAAGGCTGAGCGTGGGCTGAGCGTGGGTGCCCTGCCGTCAGCAGCGGTCCTAATGTGTCTTCATCGTGCAGAATGTTCCGAAAACCGTCAAAGATGGCGGATATTACACGAGTTAACTTGATGTATTTCTTTGTCTCGGAGTGTAACGATGATGGGTTTTTCTACAAACCGGAAATCTGAACTCAAAACACCGGTGACAATTTCATCAGAAGAAGGAGACCGAATATCAGGTTTCATTAAAATCCCCCCCCCCGAGCCTGACTGTCCAGTCATAATTGTATTCTTCAGATCTTGTAGGAAGGGAAATATTGTGGGACTTTTCTTTGGCCTCGTGGCAAAATTGTCCCCCAAATCAATTTCCTGATCTCAACGACATTATGGTGTAAACACAATACTCCTTAGAATAACCTTCGGCGTAGAAAATGGATCTCTGTAACTTGAATGAATATGATTAAGAAGGGCGTGCACGTGTATACAAACATAATTCAGATCACGACGGACATGTGATTAGAAAATTGGCAGCAGTCGTATTTCAAAGACGAGCGGGTGGAACTTTCATCCAGGCCGCAAACGGAGATATTTCCTGCCGGGCGGGGATGAAGGAGGCTGCGCGGTGATGGCCATGTTCTTACACTGATGTGAATAACATGGCTGATTTTAGCACGCACCAGCTCTGCCTTACTCTTACGAATTGTGGCAAATAATTTACCAACGTACTGTGGTAAGTTATTTACCAATAACAATGACCTACAGCCGGTTAACTTTTGCTGTCAATAATTCACCTGTCCTTGGTGCTGAACCACCTGCTGCTCTGCACGCCACATTAAACCCTTTGTCCAGTTTCTACTATTACTTCAGCTCCGAAAGAACTACTGTGCACAGACTAACCCTATGTTTCACATGTATTGAAACAATAAGACTATAAGCAATCACAGAGGACGCTTGCTGCATTGAGCATGTAATTATCACTTGTTTCTGCCGTAAGAAGGCATTCGCTCTCTTTTGATTCGGAGTGACCGTTTACTTTCTGCATGTATTTACAAAAAAAGGTAGCATTTCATATATCCTGTTATTTAGTGTGCAAAGCCTCGTTCCTAACTGCCTTTGCCTTTGTCCGTTCTATGCATAAACACCTCAATTTCCTTGCCGAAGCAATTAACAGAATCTATTTCCAGAGCGATGGTTGATGGTCGCAATCATCATTACCTGAAACAGTCAGGCACGGAAATCGAACTCGCAAACAAACGTCAGCAGTCCAATTTTCCCTGGGTGTTCTCCCGATCACCCCGCCATGCCGAGACAAGCCTGACGTTCCAGCCGACCTCGTTAACCCAAATCTACCGGCTAATCACAATGAACGGTCCTCATGCGTGCCCGACAAGCTCGGCAATAAATTGCGAGATGTAGTCCCTTGTCTAACATCGTCGTTAGGGGAGATGAAGATATACCGTAATCCTGAACTACTGTTTCGCTGATTGTGTAACTGGCATGGCTTTGCATAACCTCATTTTGAACTTCTGCAGAATTTCATGCTCAAACATGTCCGTGTACGTAGACAGAGCACACGGGTAATTCAATCTCTCTATGAACGACCAATCTGCAGTGGACGAGCCCTGAAAATCGAGACATGCATTAGGGTTCTCTTTATGATCATTCAAGGCAATTTCAAATGGGACCAGCAAGTAGACAATATGTTGAAATCTTCATGTAGGAGACTTTTCATGGTGCGTAGGCTGAAGAGATCCCACTGAAAAGGACACCAGCCAGCAACAGAACTTCGATTTTCGCCCCAATAGCCATTATCTGTGTCAGAGAAAGCATAAGTTACTGACAGTAAAAGCGATTGGGGTTTGACTGTGAAACACATGCAAACAAATCTGCCCAACCAGTCCTATTACAAAGGACTAGCCGTAAAACGAATGAAACCGTTCCTTTTTATTTGTAATTCGACAGAGACAAGGGGTGTGGTGCTGGTTTCAAACTAATAACAACACAACAATAATGACATAGGCTAATAACATAGTTATTATTAATTAAGTGATTAAGTGACAAACTAATAATATATATACGGGTACAGAATGGAGTGTTGGAAATTCTATATCTAATTGGCGCTTCGTGTCTTGAGGGCAAGTTTGAGTAAGTAATGGTGTTTTAAGTTAGAATCAGTACAAGATGCAGTTTAGCAATGTCAGGCACATTGTGTTTCTGTTAATCAAAAGACCAGGTGAGTTCCATTTTACAATAGGTCTGTAGATAAAAGCGAATTTTCAATCCCTAACACAGCATCTACAGTCCCATGGTGCCATGTCTGAACTATCTGGTGTGGAACAAACAACAGCACAATTTACACACGATCCAGAGATACGCCGGCAGCCGTGCGCTCACATCTGCTCTCACCCGAGGGCGGGTACAGCCGCTGTCTACTCAAGTGCACTGCTACTGGCTTATCGCTGAGTCGTGCTTGGGTCAGGCAGGACTAAGCGATAGATAGCGCAGATAGCGTCCGGGAAAGCCTGCGGACGTGAGCGGGCATCGGAGCGATCCGTCACGGGGCTTGCGCCGCGGCTGATAACTCGCAGGGAATCGATTCACGTGGGAGGGGAGCACAAAGGTGTGCACAAAATGAAAGTGGCGTCTATTTCTTCAGTGATAAATCACTTTTAAAAGACAAAAGGCTGGAGTATACTCTTGGACAGTTCGGACGATACGCATCATCCTTCGTAAGCATCAGCGATATGAGGTCTTTTATCGTGAAAAACCTAATGCTTCTATCCACCCTCCATCTCTCACGCACGCAGTGAGGATCTTCCCGCATCTGCCCACTTAGGTTTATAATCTTCTGACATGTGAAATACTCGCTAAGAACATACCGTGTCATAACCACCTCCATACAGCATAAAGCTACCGCCCAACCACTGATATTGTCGATCCCAGATTTTAGATTACACCGCGATGAAAAGTCCATGTAATGCATTTTCCACAGACCAGATTGTAGAGAAGCGAAGTGACCGGCAGTGTGCCGTGCTTTATGTAGTGGTCTGCAGCTGCCCCGCCCATGATAATTTTGCCCCCGTAAACACGTTGATAGATGACCTGATCTCCTGGTGCTTTGATCTGTAAGCGAGGTTTCCAAACGTTTCACATACCGGCAGGTGTGACAGTAAGTGATGCCTGTGGCGACTGCTGAGGGGTAAACATGCCTGACAATCCTCGCTCTAAGGGCTCGTATTCTCTTGAATTATTATCATTTTTACGGCTTTAAGTTTGCGATAAAATGTCCGTAGTTGAGCGGAATAGCACGGAAGATTTGGTTCTCAAGAGAATTGAGATCAGCGCAGGGCTTAAGTACAGTAATTCTTGTGGCGATGGTGCCTCCACTTAAGCCTAAATGCATTCATGTCTTGTCTTTTCTTAAAGAAAGTGTTTTGAACATAAATCAGTTCAGTACCAGGGAATATCGAAGTGTTGTTTTTCAAACGATCATCGATTGGCCTTTATATATGAAACACATATAACCTCAAACATTCCTAATCTCAATGGGTCAATCGGTTTAACCACCATCGGCGTCACACATAATCTTTCATAAACACATGTTACGAATGTCCAAGCTAGGTGGAGGCCGTCCTTCTATGTCTGACCTGTTACAGACATGCGTGCAGCAAAGGCTAAACCGTACTAAAGATTTTCCGTAATGCTCACCCGAACATCAGGCCTAACCTCAGAGGTTCCCCTGGAAGGAAGGCTATAGTGGTGAATCTGCCGAAATGTTTTGTAAATTGATACAAAGAATCTAGAGAAGGATGGAGAGGGTTTGTGCTAGACCTCCAGACGAGGATGGGACAAGGTGAAGGTGAAGATGGCAGCAAAATCTAGGTCTGTCGAAGCGTCATGGCGGGGACATAGTATAACATACTGGGACTGGGAAATAATACAAATACACAACAGATATCAACAGTCTAAACCGAATACTTCCCTGAAGCTCGAATAGAATCAGGTGTTTGGAAAATCAGGTGTGCTACATGTTTTCCATGTAGCATGTGGAAAACCACAGGTCATTCAGCACCAAGGACGGAGACGTCCTCACTGTCATCCAAACTTAAGATAAGATCATCCTGCGGATAAAGCTGATATTGTCGAAT